GTATTTATAAATTAATAAATAAGAATTTTATCAAAGAAAAACAGATAGAATAATTAAAATTATTAAAAAAAACAGAAGACATTAAAAATGAATTAAACAAAATATGTAAACTATATAAGGTCCTCTCAATAAATTACATACTGTAAAGGGTTTTATTGAATTGTTATCGAAAATGTTCAACAATCAAAACAACCCTATGTGGCCTTTTGTCTTTGTATTTTAAATACTAGAAAACTTAAAAGGCTCGAATTAATTATTATTATTCTCTTAATACATAACATTTAAAAACAGAACGCTTAAACACTTGGTGAATTACATTTCGTAGGTACTAAAAAATTGAATAAAGGTACCTGTTCCCATTGTTCCCGAAGTCGATGCGATTAATCCACTAATCAAAAAGATGCTGAATACAGTAAATCGTGTCGCTATCGCACTGTGTGAAAGTGGGCTTAGGGGACCGCAAAAAAAATAACTTTTTAGAAGAATTGTACGAAAGTCAGTAGAAATTACCCAAATTCGTTCAACAAGGGATTCTCTAAACCAAGGGCCAGAAAGTTATTTAAAAAGAATATGTAAATATTGAAGCTTTTTATCAGCCCTATCGTAATCCATTAGCACTGTTCCTAAGCAGGATACGAAAAGGGTCTCTCAAAGCGGATTTCGCCGACGCAACGCCCAGATTCGGTCTAACTACGCCGCTGGCAATGTTCCTACTTTTTTGAAAAAAAAAAAAAATAGCAGACAAATGCTATTCCACCTATAAGAGATGCTTCCTTTTTAATATAAAGAATAAAATATCATGTTATATTTTATTGAAAATGTTTATTTTATATCAAAAGCAAAAACTGATGTATGTAATTAAATTATCAATGAAAAATATTTTATATGCAATTGCACAATCAATTCATAATTATCAATTAATCACATTATATAGTAACACATCATTTTGCTTAACTTAGTTGGACTCGCAGTTTTTCTACCAGTATTTTTTGATAATTTACATGGATATTATTGGCGAGAACCGTTTAAGAACCTATAAGGTTCCATATTTCTAGGTTCACAATTAAATATATCGAGGAACATAAAATGGACCCTATTACGAGAATAATCCCTATATAATTTTATACTTTGCGAATTCTTTAACAAATTTTCTTACATATACAGGGTGATCCAATATCAGTGGCCTATTAGAGATTCGCGAAAAAGTAATTANAAAATAACAGTAAATGTTTGAAGAGTTATTAAAAGAAATTACAATAAAAAAAATGCAAAGCCATGGGAAGGTCCTAAAAGCTCTATTGAAAAACAAGTAAAACATTGCTTCTAAAGCAAAATACTAACTGCCATACTTTTATATTCTCTGCTTTATTACAGCCTAATTAAAGTAAAATTTACCACTTACGTTTTATGTAGACTGGTTCATAGGGAATAACTCATCAGTCATCACAATCTACTTTATTCTGCAAGACGAAAAAGAAAAAATTAACCATAAATAATTAAAAGATACAAAGATTACTGATTTGTCTACTTTTAAGTAAAATTTGCGATATTTATTTCAAGTATGATTCTTGAGATCAATAATCCTAATAGATAATAAACCATTATTTGTGAGCTACAACAATATTAATAATTAAAATTAATAAAACTTACCAGTTCATAAACATCAACTTTTGAAGTATTCCTCTAGTGACCAAATCATCTTTATGGACATTTCTGAAATAAGTAAACACTGTAACAACACCGGCTTTTACATATTGCAACTAAAATAAAATATTCTTGATTCACTTCAACATATTTTTGAATTTGAAATCAAAGACAAAGTAACTGATTCATTTAAATCTTTACACGAATATGCATTTTAAAATAAAAGTAATTTAAGTAAATATATCAAAAATGGTAAATATAATAAAGCAAGCAATTAATATAATGTATCGTTAGAATTGTAGGTAATCATCTGATGTTATATAAATTAATTACAATTATACAAAACTGTCTACCTATTCTTTAGTCTGAGGAATCTAAATTTTGGCAAAACAATTGTTGCTGCGTTTGATATAAAATAAATAAGTTACTTGTACTTTCATTTTACAAAAAATTTCTTCAATTTCTCAAAAAAAAAATAAATAAAGGAAAAACGGTTACTTATTGACTTTGGAAAACATTAAATAATTTTTAACAATGAATTGGAAAATAAGGAATAATTTTAGCTACATATTTCCAACACATTACTTTCTTTATAATACGTATCAAAGCAGATGATAAGAAATAGAAATCCTAAAATCGATTATTTGTGTAAATTCTACTAGCAGGTAGATACCCAGTTCAGGTGAAATAAATCTATTAAAAATTTCGTTTACAATAATTTACATCTCTTTTTTGTCAAAATTGAATTATCACTTACTACGTTTGTATGCAATTAGTAATTTGAATTTTTATAGCCTAATATAAAAACGAAAATAGTACAGTTGCTTTTGTTCTTTTAAATACAGAACTGTATAGCAATTTTTAAGTGGTACGTTAGTAACAACTATGATGATATGCTTTTATTCGGATAATTTGCCTTTTTATAAAAGTATACCAACCCTCGTTGACGGTAAAATAACAGTAAATGTTTGAAGAGTTATTAAAAGAAATTACAATAAAAAAAATGCAAAGCCATGGGAAGGTCCTAAAAGCTCTATTGAAAAACAAGTAAAACATTGCTTCTAAAGTAAAATCCTAGCTACCACAATTTTATATTCTCTGCTTTATTACAGCCTAATTAAAGTAAAATTTACCACTTACGTTTTATGTAGACTGGTTCATAGGGAATAACTCATCAGTCATCACAATCTACTTTATTCTGCAAGACGAAAAAGAAAAAATTAACCATAAATAATTAAAAGATACAAAGATTACTGATTTGTCTACTTTTAAGTAAAATTTGCGATATTTATTTCAAGTATGATTCTTGAGATCAATAATCCTAATAGATAATAAACCATTATTTGTGAGCTACAACAATATTAATAATTAAAATTAATAAAACTTACCAGTTCATAAACATNCTTGTCAATATAGAGTGTGACAACTAAGCAATAGTCTTTCATAATGTAAGCTTTTTATTAAAGCTTTTTTTTAATGCTAAATATACGAAGGGCAATAACTGTACATGTTTCTAATGTTTAGAAATTAATATTACAATGAGACTTTTTTTGTCTTTCTAGAAAAGCTCCAAAAAACATTTTCTTAAAATACTTTACTAATGTTACTACTTTACTAACTTTAATAAAATGTCAATATTTTGATAACTTCAGGATTCTTTGGAAATATTTTCAGTAATAATCAAAAGGAAATAAAATTAAATCCTAGTTTCAATTTTAAAATATTTTGTAAATTTCAGCATACAAATATTGTCTTAAAACCCATCAGCAATATAAGAAACAATTAAAGAAAAATAAAAGGGCTTAAGTAAATACTAGCAAACTTTAACAACTTATATAATACTAATATGATGTTACTTTCAGATAATCTAGAATATTAATTTTTAAGCAGTAAATTAACTAATTAAGAGACCACCTACCCCAACCGCAATGTTTTTCAATAGCGTTTAGCACTAAGATGTTGTTTTTATTTTCTGTGCTTATTTGTACACAAATCGGCCGAATTAATTAACAAAAACCCATTACATTGGCCGAAGTTACAATCGCCGTTTAATATAATGTCTGTTCGCATTAACTAGGGCAGTAGTAAATTCGGCCGATCATTACAAGAGGCAAAATCATTCATTATGGCTCCATATCAGTCATTTCTAGACAAATGAGATTTTTTTAAATATTATTAAAGGGATTTTTCTAAGGGCATATTAGTTAGAAGAGAGGTTAAAGTAAGTATCAAATCAAAGCATCACTTTTCGTTTTTGTTTTATTAAAAAAACAAAACCTTAAAACCTATTAAATAAATTGCAGCCATATAGTAATGAGTTAGAACCTGCACTTCGGGCAAATGATAACTTAGGATGTTCTTAAGAGAAGTACGAAGTCCAATTTTTGTTAGATGTTAAACAAACAGAAGTATTTTGATTTTTGTTGGGAACTGCATAAAAAATTAAGATAGACAATCAATGTTACTCGGATTAGGGTGGTTTATTAGGTGCCATTAAGCAACCGCTACCTATTGGTTTGTTATACCTGTGCATAGAAATAACAGCACATATTGTGGGTACCTGTTCAACCTGTTATACGGGACATTCTTTTACAGCCGGACTGACTGATACATTTTCGATTTGACTGAAATTTTATTATTTACGAGTTTTATTTAAAAAAAAAGGGAATCGTGTACGATTTATTTCGATATTTTGGGAAGGAGAAGTGATCAAAAATTTGAGAATTTGATGGTTTTTGGCTTTTTCAAAAATTCGTAATTCCGGCTCTATTTGAACTAGAAACTGTTTTCATTTTAAAGCTAAAAAAAATGATATAAAACTGTTTCAATTATAATAAATTCTTATTGTTACAATTAAAATATTTAAACCAGTTTTAAACAATTGCCCCCACCTTTAATATAGTAAAACCATCGTGTTTTAGATGAAATTTTCTATCAAAAAAGTAATTTTAATTGATGAAGAAATTATTGATACTAATGGAAAAAAAATAATTTATCCAGCGCGGCACGTTGCGGTGGTGGGAGTATTCCATTGCACGCCTACTTTCCGTGCCTCGTACCGTTTTTCTCTGTCGTATATACGATTATTCTATTTTTTCTTATCAAATAATAATACTAATTAACATATAAGACATTACAAAAAATGAAACGAAAAGATAATAACAAAAAACATTATTTTAGCGTTGTTTTTTAAATTAAATTTGTATAAAGTCTCATGTGTTAATAAATGATATTACCTACTTGATAATCCGCGCAAATGTAACGTGTCGCGTCGGATGAATTAATTTTAATTAATTAGCATAAGCGGTCTCGTATCAGTAATTTAAACTCAGATGAGAAACGTTTTTTATTTAATAAAACAAAGTTAATTTACAAGAAGCGCTTCGCACATTTTTGAGATATCGACCACTCTTGCAACTCTTGCGAACAACCTACCTGCTGAATAATTATACTTATTTACTTGCTTATATGTATATTTCGCAAAAATATTAAAGAATATTGTATAACATACGACAACGATATTTTTTTGCGTAAAAAAGGTCATCATTTTTTCATTAATTTATACATAACATTTTTCAAAGCAACATTTTTTAAGAAAACCAAATTAAGAAATGCTCATGAAACATGAGCTATCAACATAATAACCAGTCTAATTTACAATTTGTCCTTCGAGAACAACAAATCATTTCCGGTCGAGTTTACCACTGTAATTACAAAATTCCATTAAACCAGTCGAATTTGCAATCGCCACATTTACTATTATAATTTGAGTTATTTATTAAATCAAGCGATGGATTAATACATACAAGGAGAAAATGAAAAAAGAAAATTTACTTAAATATTT